CTTTGTTGGCAAAGCGATGTCTCTGCTTTTTAATATGTGTCTAAGCTTGTCATAGCTTTTCTTCCAAGGAGCAAAAGTCTTTTAACTTCATGGCTGCAGTCACCATCTGCCATGATTTTGGATCCCAAGAAAATAAAGTCTGTCACTGTTTCCATTGTTTCCCCATCTATTTGCCATCAAGTGATGGGACTGGATGCCATGATCATCATTTTTTGCCAGCTTTTTCACTCTCCTCTTTCACATTCATCAACAGGCTCTTTAGTTCCTCTTTGCTTTTTGCCATAAGGGAGGTGTCATCTGCATATTCTGAGGGTATTGATATTTCTCCCTCCAATCTTGATTCCAGCTTGTGCTTCATCCAGCCTGGCATTTCACATGATGTATCCTGCATATAAGTTAAATAACCATGATGACAATATACAGCTTTCAGTTCAGTTCAGTTCAATCACTCAGTCATATCCAACTCTCTGTTACCCCATGGACTGCAGCATGCGAGGCCTCCCTGTCCATCATCAACTCCCGGAGTTTACTCAAACTCATGTCCATTGAGTCGGTGATGCCATCCAACCATCTCATCCTCTGGCATCTCCTTCTCCTACTGCCTTCAATCTTTCCCAACATTAGGGTCTTTTCAACGAGTCAGTTCTTCGCATCAGGTGGCCAAAATATTGGAGTTTCAGCTTCAGGATCAGTCCTTCTAATACAATTTGGGATTGATTTCCTTTAGGATTGATTGGTTGAATCTTCTTGCAGTCAAAGGGATTCTCAAGAGTCTTCTCCAACACTACGTTCAAGAGTGTCAATTCTTCAGCACTCAGCTTTCTTTATAGTCCAGCTCTCACATCCATGCATGACTACTGGAAAAACCATAGCTTTGACTGGATGTACCTTTGTTGTCAAAGTAATGTCTGTGCTTTTTAATATGCTGTCTAGGTTGGTCATAACTTTTCTTCCAAGGAGTAAGTGTCTTTTAATTTCATGACTGCAGTCTCCATCTGCAGTGATTTTGGAGCCCGCAAAAAATACAGTCTGTCACTGTTTCCACTGTTTCCCCATCTATTTCCCATGAAGTGATGGGACCTGATGCTGTGATCTTAGTTTTCTGAATGTTGAGCTTTAAGCCAACTTTTTCATTCTCCTCTTTCACTTTCATCAAGAGGCTGTTTAATTCTTCTTCACTTTCTGCCATAAGTGTGGTGTCATCTGCATATCTGTGGTTATTGATATTTCTCCTGGCAATCTTGATTCTAGCTTGTGCTTCATCCAGCCTGGCATTTTGCATGATGTACTCTGCATATAAATTAAATAACCAGGGTGACAATATACAGCCTTGATGTACTCATTTCCCTATTTAGAAGCAGTCTATTGTTCCATGTCCAGTTCTAACTGTTGCTTCCTGACCTGCATATAGATTTCTCAATAGGCAGGTCAGGTGGTCTGGTTTTCCCATCTCTTTCAGAATTTTCCACAGTTTGTGGTGATCCACACAGTCAGAGGCTTTGGCATAGTCAATAAAGCAGAAATAGATGGTTTTCTGGAACTCTTTTGCTTCTTTGATAATCCAATGGATATTGGCAATTTGATCTCTGATTCCTCTGCCATTTCTAAAACCAGCTTGAACATCTGGAAGTCCATGGTTCACGTATGGCTGAAGCCTGGCTTGGAGAATTTTGAGCATTACTTGACTAGCGTGTGAGAAGAATGCAATTGTGCAGTAGTTTGAGCATTCTTTGGCATTGCCTTTCTTTGGGNCATGGGAATGGTCTTGATCCCTGTCTCCTGTACAATGTTACGAACCTCCGTCCATAGTTCATCAGGCACTCTGTCTATCAGATCTAATCCCTTGAATCTATTTCTCACTTTCACTGTACAATCATAAGGGATTTGATTTAAGTCATATGTGAATAGTCTACTGGTTTTCCCTGCTTTCTTCAATTTATGTCTCTGGTGGTGAAGTTGCTCAGTCGTGTCCGACTCTTTGCAACCCCATGGACTGTAGCCTACCAGGCTCCTCGATCCATGGAATTTTCTAGGCAAGAGTACTGGAGTGGGTTGCTATTTTCTTCTCCAGGGGATCTTCCCTATCCAGGGATGAAACCCAAGTTTCCTGCATTGCAGGCAGACCCTTTACCCTCTGAGACAATTTACGTCTGAATTTGGCAATAAGGAGTTCATGATCTGAGCCACAGTCAGCTCCCAGTGTTGTTTTTGCTGACTGTATAGAGCTTCTCCATCTTTGGCTGTAAGTCTGAATTTGGCAATACGGAGCTCATGATCTAAGCCACAGTCAGCTCTCAGTCTTGTTTTCGCTGACTGTATAGAGTTTCTCCATCTTTGGCTGCAAAGAATATAATCAATCTGATTTCAGTGTTGACCATCTGGTGATGTCCATGTGTAGAGTCTTCTCTTGTGTTTTTGGAAGAGGGTGTTTGCTATGACCAGTGGATTCTTTTGGCAAAAACTCTATGAGCCTTTGCCCTGCTTCATTCCGTACTCCAAGGCCAAATTTTCCTGTTACTCCAGGTGTTTCTTGACTTCCTACTTATGCATTCCAGTCCCCTATAATGAAAAGGACATCTTTTTGGGTGTTAGTTCTAAAAGGTCTTGCAGGTCTTCATAGAACCATTCAGCTTCAGCTTCTTCAGCATTACTGGTCAGGGCATAGACTTGGATTACCGTGATATTGAATGGTTTGCCTTGGAAACAAACAGAGATCATTCTGTTGTTTTTGAGATTGCATCCAAGTATTGCATTTCGGGCTTTTTTGTTGACTGTGATGGCTACTCCATTTCTTCTAAGGGATTCTTGCCCACAGTAGTAGATATAATGGTCATCTGAGTTAACTTCACCCATTCCAGTCCATTTTAGTTTGCTGATTCCTGGTGTCGATGTTCACTCCTGCCATCTCCTGTTTGACCACTTCCAATTTGCCTTGATTCATGGAGCATGAATCAACATTCCAGGTTCCTATGCAATATTGCTCTTTACAGCATTGGACTTTGCCTCTATCACCAGTCACATCCTCAACTGGGTGTTTTTTTGTTTTTTTTTTTTTTGCTTTAGCTCCATCTCTTCATTCTTCCTGGAGTTATTTCTCCACTGATCTCCAGTAGCATATTGGGCACCTACCAACCTGGGGAGTTCATCTTTTAGTGTCCTATCTTTTTTGCCTTTTTATATTGCTTACGGGTTTCTCAAGGCAAGAATACTGAAGTGGTTTGCACTTCCCTTCTCCAGTGGACCACATTTTGTCAGAACTCTCCACCATGACCCATTCATCTTGGGTGGCCCTACATGGCATTGCTTTTAGTTTCATTGAGTCAGACAAGGCCATGGTCCATGTGATCAAATTGGTTAGTTTTCTATATACAGCCTCTAGGCACTCCTTTTCCAATTTGGAACCAGTCCGCTTTTCAATGTCCAGTTCTAACTGTTGCTTCTTGACCTGCATACAGATTTCTTAGGAGGCAGGTAAGGTGGTCTGATAATCCCATCTCTTTAAGAATTTTCCACATTTTGTTGTGATCCACACAGTGAAATGTTTTAGTGTAGTCAATGAAGCAGAAATAGATGTTTTTCTGGAATTCCCTTGATTTTTTTCCGTGATCCAACAGATGTTGGCAGTTTGATCTTTGGTTCCTCTGCCTTTTCTAAATCCAGCTTGTACATCTGGAATTTCTTGGTTCACATACTACTGAAGCCTAGCTTGAAGGATTTTGAGCATTATCTTGCTAGCATGTGAAATGAGTGCAAATTGTGCGGTAGTTTGAACATTCTTCGCCATTGCCCTTCTTTGGGATTAGAATGAAAACTGACCTTTTGCAGTCCTGTGGCCATTGGTGAGTTTTTCAAATTTGCTGGCATATTGAGTACAGCACTTTAACAGCATCATCTTTTAGGATTTGAAATAGCTCGGCTGGAATTCCATCACCTCCACTAGCTTTGTTCACAGTAATGCTTCCTAAGGCCCACTTGATTTCACACTCTAGGATGTCTGGCTCTAGGTGAGTGATCACACCATTGTGGTTATCTGGGTCATTAAGACTTTTTTTTTCTGTAGTTCTTCTGTGTGTTCCTGTCACTTCTTATTAGTATCTTCTGCTTCCGTCAGGTCCGTATCATTTCTGTCCTTTTACCCATCTTTGCCTGAAATGTTCCCTTGGTATCTCTAACTTTCTTGAATTAGATCTTGAATTTTCTTGATCTCTAGTCTTTCCTATTCTATTGTTTTCCTCTGTTTCTTTGCATTGTTCCCTTAAGAGGCCTTTCTTAAGTGAACAATAAGGGAAAATATTGGTAATTACTAAATCTAGCTGAAGAATATAGGGTACTTCATTGTACTATTCTTTCAGTTTTTCTATAGTTTAAAAACTTTCCAAATAAACTTAGAGAAAAAGGACGAAGCCAAAAGACCTGGTTTAATTTCCTAACTGTATTCTTTTTTGTTTCGTAATAGATAAGTTAATAGCTAAGCAATGAAAACAAAACAGTTATTTGGGTATAACTTTATATTTAGGAATAAAACCAGCTAACAGTCAGTCATGTACTTAGTTGTAAGAATTAGAAAACCAGAAATAAAGTTCTATTGGTCATTAGAGGGACTTCTCATATTTTATGGCTTATACTTTCAAAGGAAATAAGCTGGAGGAAATGGACTACGTGTGTATTAAGGAATTTAAGTTTGCACTGTGGGTAGATTTGGAAATATTTAACAAACCCTAACTTTTCTTTTTCACAAGTCTTCATGTCTATAAAAGTGATTATATTGATTTGTCCCCTTTCTTTAGGTAAAAAGAAAAAACAACTGTATCTTTGCTTAGTTGTAGCTAAATTGATCTGGTTGATAGAGGCAGAGATATAAATATATTGGTGTAAAAGGACACATAGGAGATAAGACTATGTATTTATTGCCCATTTATGTAATTACCTGTGTCACTGAGGACAAAGGTCTTTAAAACAAAGACGAAAGGCAGAGTAGAAGCAGTTCCCTTTAGTAAGATAGATGGACTTGCTACCACTTCCCTCTTCATGAATTTTCGTTCTGCATGCTTGCATATCCTTCTGGCTTTATAGTCACATTTGAAAACTTGACCATCTTTTTGGGCACAGTTCAATGGCTGAAGAGATGCTTCACTCCAATAAAAAGAAAATGAAAACTTTTCAAGAGCATTCATAGGCTTTGAGCCAAGCAGAGAGCACTTCGTTCCTGAGATCTGCTAGTTGTTCCATGAGGAAGTGACAACCAGGACGTCAGTACCATGGATGTGGTAGGCGAAAACGAGGCCCTCCAGCAGTTCTTTGAAGGTAAGAGACCTGTTCTCAACACCTGGGAGACGACATTGCTTACATCACTGTTTTACCTTTTTGGAATTCACTTAAACTTGGCTCTCAAAGAAATACAATTGTACTAACTGTTCTAAAGTCAGAAGTTCAGGTTTGTTTGTTGTGTTTGTAGCAAAAAATCAGTGATTTTTAAAAATTCAGGATTTCCCTCTTATAGGTTGGTTATTAAAAGAATCAAGATGTCAGCATTCCTATGTTACTAGAATTTGTCCCTGTCCTTTGCTAGATTTTTTTTCCCAATCCCTGTGTTTCATAAAGCTAGATTTTTCTTACTTCTAAAATTATTGAATATAGCACAACAAAAATGCAAAAGTTTACTAAAGACAATTTTTTTCTCAGTATAATTAAATATAAAACAGCCTAACAGCAAAGAAGCACCTCTTCCCATTCGCATCTGTGTTTTTCGCAACACTTAAAAAATATATAACTATTGAATGATGGTTTGTTTTTGAGGGTAAGTATCTTTTTCCCCAAGGGGAGGCTTACTATACGACATGGTTTCACAGATTTTCTTTTTTCCTGAAAACCTGAAATGTCGGTAGCACTTCTCATAGTCAGTTGGGTTGATATTCTCATGATGGGTCCACTGAAAATGTCAGCAAGGCCTTGCCTTCTTGTGACATCTTTTAGGGAGCCCCGGGAGGCTGCACACTAGTGCAGCTAGAGTTCCTTATCAGTTAGCCATGCTCAGACTTCCGTGGAACAGGAAATGTGGCCAGAGCTTTTGCACATTTCCAGGTATTTCCCAGGAGAGAGTATGAGAATAATTGAGGGCAGACCTGCTCGCTCACAGAATCCCAAGGGCAGTTAGCAGCATATTGAGAAAGTGCTTTTGGCATTTCTTGTGATTAGTAAAGTGCCTGACAAATACTAGACGTTTAAAGGTTGAATGACCATATTGTGTCAAATGCTAAAGAGTGTTTCTACCAAAGAAACCGTGAGATTCTAGGTCACTATCAGAAGGCATTAGCATAGTACAATAGGTCCAATGGCTTGAATTTTGCCAGATGGGATAAGAAAAATATAGGACCTAGAGAAGTATTGTGTTATTCTAGCTCTAGAGTCTATCTCATTGTGTTCTATCTCTGACAGTGGCCAAGTCAATGTGTCCACTTGGGTCACACAGTAGGTATAATAATGTGGCTTAATTGTTGTTGCCTGATTTTATATCATATGCAACATTCATTTGAATAGAGTAGCAAGCTCTGAGCTACAGTTATATCTGTTTTATTTTAGAGAAATCATTCATTTTATAAAAGCACAAAATCTACCTAGCTTCATTCCAGAACTGGAGAAGACCTGAAAAGTTCATCTGGTCTACCTTCTGTTTTTTAGTAGTCCTGTCATACCTATAGGGTCACTGTGTTGTCCTTGTTCAGGCTATTTTCTGAAGTCTTTGGAGATATAGTTTCCACAAATCCTCTCTATAGCTGGTTACAAAAATCTGATTATTATTATTGTATCTTTCTTAGCCCAAACTGAACTCGGGCTCCTTTTGGAGACTTTTTAACTAGGGAGGAGTAATTTCTCCATGGAAAGAGAATAAAATGGTCAGTGTTTTCTTACATTATCTCTGAATGAATAGATTGAAAAGATGGTGAACTTTGAAATAAAAAATAGAAGTACTAATTTAAGTGACTCCCCTCCCCTTGAATGTCACAGTGTTGGTTGTCAATTTTTTATTACCTATTCAGCAAATATCGATTACTGACTGTGTGCCAAGTCCAACAATCACCTCTTTGAAAGCCTGTAGGGCTTTGAAGAATTTCCCTTAGGCTATGATTTCCTTTCTCAAATATTCCTTAGAATGAGGACAGCAAAACTGGATATGATATTCTCATGAGGAGGGCCAGTTATATGTTGTTCTCCTGTTTATATATCACCTTCCAATTAAGTGCAATCTCATATAAAAAAACCAAGGTCTGAAAAACAAGAAAAGTTTTCTTAATTTGTTACCCACCTGAAAGCTAATGTTTTGTTTACTCAAACTCTTCATTCTAATAAACTGAATCCTAAATAATATATTTTTCCTTATGAACACTTTTGTAGTAAAAAGTATCTGGACTGACAATATCATTGTGAATTAAATGACCTTGAACATCAGAGTTCATGCTGATTATGCTAAATCTTTACTGTGTGTCTCAGGAAAATGACAAGAACAAAGAGTGGTTCTAGGCAACTGGCAAGCCTCATTTTATTGCCTGCCAATGATGCAATAAGTAGGCCCATCAACTAAAGCAGAAGAGGTGGATCACATTCTCCAGGGATCCCAATATCCACTGGAAGCTCAGATATTATGTGAAATATTTGTTTTTTTTTAATAAAGTTGATACCATTACAAGAGAAAAGTTGTCAGAGGAGAGGCACATTATTTTATGTATAACAACCAAAAATCGATTACAACTTAAATTAGTGGTGAACTAGTTAAATATATTATAGTTCTTTTATATAATGAATATTTTGTAGCTAGTAAAAATGATGATGATAAGGAAAATGTTAATGATATAAAGCAGAAACATGGGTTAAAATTGGTATATTATAATTATATATTTATATATTTCTAGAACAGAGTTTATTTAAACTGACCTGAAAAGAGTTACTGTATATACCCATATGGATGCACATATACTATATATACACACACACATATACTTGGTAACAACTGGATGATTACATGACAAGTATTAGCAGTAGCTATCTCTTAGCAGTAGGAATATTGAGATTTTTAGTTTCTTCTTTATTATCTCAGTACTTCAAACTTGGAATGTACTATGTCATAGGTTATCTTAAATAAAGGGCATTGAGTTTAATTCTGCAAAACTCTTCTGTTAGAGTTTCTTTTTTGTATAAAGAAAAATTGTAAAAGACATTGACATGGATGAAAAAAAATTACTAGGTATCTTCCACAGAAAACTATGGCTGCATCATGTCCTCTGGGCTATCAAATTCTCTGGGATTTTCACCTTTTACTGTTTTAGAGCTATTCTGAAACTCTGCAAATTGTAGATGATTGATATCAATGCAATGAATTTTGTCTATAGATATGTAAATCAATTATCTCCTTCTGGGGATCAATAGTTTCAGTAGAGTTTCAGTGGAGTAGGAAATGGCAACCCGCTCCAATATTCTTGCCTGGGAAATCCCATGGACAGAGGAGCCTGGCAGGCTACAGTCCATGGGATTGCAGAAGTAGTCAGACACAACTGAGAGACTAAACAACAACAGTTTCTGTAAAACCCAGGCTTCCAATTATTATTACATTCATTCCATAGCATAGCTAGACTTAGATTATCTATCTGCTTATCTATCTACATGCCTATATAGATCTATCTATCTATCCATCTATCTATCTTGGTTCATCTTTCTAGATACCTAGATCTAGATCTGCTGTTTCAATATTCCTTGAACCAGTTGTAACATCTTAATTTCCTTAATTAAGTAAATAAAAATCTTTGATATGTGTTCATCTTTTATTTGTATAAGTCATGATTTTGTCTTTAAAAATATATGTCCTTTAACACTTGCCAAGTTTTAAGTTAGTTAACTTAGATTTTGTTTTACCTTAAATTCAAACCAGATTAATAATGTTTACTGAACATTTACTAGGCATTAAGTACTATTCCATTCACTTTACACCATTGTCTCATTTAATTCTTACAACCCCCTGGTTAAAAAAGGAATATAAAATAAAGTATATTAGATCCCATCCCTCAGTTTACTTCACTTATTTTGATAGCTGTGACCTTACATTCTAAATTTGTTTCCCTATGGGTATTTCTTTTGGACTACTGTGATATCAGGATTCATCTTTTATTTCCCATGGGAATCATTTTAAACTACCTTTTAGTTTATAAAAGCTAATTTGAGAATTACTTTTCATGGAAACGAAGAAAAAGAAAATTATTCTAAAGTAGATTTTAGTTTATAAAAGCTAATTTGAGAATATTTTATAGTTCATTAATTTAATCTTTAAGAAGAAATTTTCTAAGTTGGTGAGAAGATGTTTAGCTCATCTTCTTCATAGGGTCTGGAAGTAGGTTCTCAAATGCTTGTTGGCTTATCATGAAATAAAGAGGAGATTCCTGCCCTGACTGAGCAGAAATGGGAAAACTACATGTAGTTGTCCCTCAGTATCCAGCCCCTCTGTTACCAAAATCCACAAATGCTCAAGTCCCTTATATAAAATGGCAGTAGTATTTGCATATTAACTTGTGTACATCATACTTTAAATAGTCTCTAGATTATTTATAATACCCAGTGCAAGGTAAATACTATGTGAGTCATTTCTAGAATGTGGCAAAATCAAATTTTGCTTTGTGGAACTTTCTGGGATCTTTTTTCCCAAATATTTTCCATCCTTGGTTGGTTGAAATCTGCAAATGTGTGACTCAGACATGGAGGGCTGACTCTCCTAAGAGTGAATCACATGGAAAAGCAGAAGATGGAAACTAGCTGAAGAAACTCCTACGCACCTATTGAAATTTGAGGGTTGAAAGGTACCTCCTAGAACCAGAAACTGTGGACAGGCAGGAAGCACTGAACAGCTCCTGAGATCAAAGAGGGGGAACAGGCCCTTCAGGAAGCTGCCGTCAAACAAGCAGCAGGATATTTTCTGCCCTCCTCTCTCTGCTTAAGATTTAAATTTCTAATTAGCTATTATTAAAGTAGGGTGGTAGGGATTTAGGCAAAAACATCTGCTACCCATGAGTTGTACAAGAATATTAGGGAGAAGCTAAGTTTTCTTGGAAGTGAAGAAAATGCTGAAAACTCTGGAGCAAAAACACAGTGACTCACCCCAGATAGACTGCATCTAGAAAGGCATCAAGTCTCCAACACATTGGGAGAATTGTTAAGACAAGAGAAATGTAGCTTGGAAAAGTGCCTATATGGTGTCAGCGTACAGTAGACAGAAATACTTAGAGAATAAATGGATGACGACAGTTCTACTCAATAGGTTAGGA